AAAGCATCCCCATCTCAGCCTGGAGGACTCGAGCTGCCCAGTCAGGCCTGGGGGCTCTCGGACAGTGATGGCCCAGACCCTCTGGGTTGGAGTGCTAGTTTTCTTTGCCTCCTTATTTATTTCCTGCATAGTCCACCGTCCCCCAGCCCAGCTTGGCCAGTTCCTTCCTTGGAGAGAGGCCCTGATAGAGCTACCACCTCACATCTCACCCCTGAAGCTCTGCAGAGGGAGGAGGCAGGGAGAGCCAGCAAACTGAAACAAAATGTGCCATGTTCCCAGTTCTGCCAGATCTTAATTGCAGTACCAGCCATCCCGCTAGACTTGCTCCTCTGAGAAGCGAGGCAGTCATGGGCACTGCCCTTGGTGGCCCACCTGCCTTTGCTCAGCAGTGGTAACCGTGGCCTCCTGTTTGGCTGATTCTAAAGCCAGGCTTGGGGCTACCTCCCTCCCGTGCCTCTCAGGGTGAGTGGGCACGCAGGGCAGAGCTAAGAGAGGCCTCTGCTGGGTTACCTGGGCTTTGACAGGTGCATGGGCTGCACCCAGGGCTCCCTGTTCTGGTTTTACTAGGACAGAAATGTTCTGTGGTGAGGTCCTGGCAGCCCTTGCTCACAACCCTGCTCCCACCCCGTGAGCCTGTTGGGGGGTGTGTGTGGCGGGAGGGGTTCTGCTAGGTTGAAATTCTGCTGTGGATTATCACGCCCCAGCCACACTCCCCAGGTTCCCATTGCTGCCTGGCCTGTGCCGCCTGGTTAAATTGATGTGGACCTCTGACACTGGGCCCATCACAGACACACGGAGCCTGGGACTCGTGCCAGTTGTGCATCTGTCCTTGTTGAGTCTATGCTTGGAAGTTGCACCTCTGGATCCACTGCCACATTATTTTTCTGTTGGGCTTTAGCCTTGCCTTGCTCTCTGGAAGGAGGTTGTCTGGAATGGTTTCTACCGTTAGACCCAGAAGGGTTCAGTGTCTCCATCACCTCCCCGTGATGCCTTGCAGAGATGGTGGGGGTGGGGAATGGCTGCCCGCAGCTTGCTGAGGGCCTCCTTCTGTTTCACATTTTAAATGTTTTATGAAAAGGGAGAAGGTAGCCTGTGGACTGTAAATTCAGGAGTGCTTTGGGCTATGTTTCCTGGATGTGTGCCTGAGGAGCCTCCTCCACTGAAACTGCTCATTAAAGCCCGTGACTCTGAATAGCCAGCACATGAAATAAGATATTTTCTACTTCTGTTACTTTTTATTTAAGAAGGTCAATTTTATGAGAGTGAGTTGGGTCCAAGCAAGAATATTTTTGAAAGCCAGTTTTGTAATGGGTATTTTTAGGTTTCATTGCAAAAACCTATGAGCTGGGCTGTGGGGCATCTGGTGGCTGGGGTGCTGCTCAGCAACTGTGGTGTGCACACTGGGACACTCGAGTCATGTTCTCGAGGCCCTTGGGCACCCTGGGGCCATTGACTGGTGTTTGCTGGGTGTCCTCTCGAATTTTGGGCGCTCTGCCTTAGTGCAAAACTAGGTCCCTCCTACTTGTTAGGTTTTTGTTTTTATTTACTTTTAAAAAATGTTTTAAAATTGGTTTTAGAGAGAGGAAAGGGGATGGGGAGAGGCATGGATGTGAGAGAGAAACATCAATCAATTGCCTCCGGTACACACCCTGACCAGGAATAAAACTAGTGACCTTTTGGTGCACAGGACAACACTCCAACCAGCTGAGCCATATCCCCAGGGCAGGTTTTTATTTTGTAGTGAACAGAATGTATGGGAGTATTTTCTTTGAGTGGGAGCCCCATGGAGTCAGTTCTAAAGCTGAAAAGCAATAGCAAATGCCAAAACCTTCGCACTGGCTGCTTGGACTATCCTTCTACAGCAGAAAGACTTCCCCATGCTCTAGAGCTGTTACCTCCTAGGGAAACCTCTCACTACTGTCCCTTCTGCTCCTCAGGGCACTCAGCGCCTCCTTGCAGCTCCCATCCACAGGCAAAAGGAAGCTCCGCAAGGCCAGGGGTTGTGTTGGTTTCGAGCACTGCTCTACCTGCAGCCCCTTGAACTAGGCCTGGTACACAATAGGTGCTCAGTACGTATTTCTGTAATTGAGATACATGTACCTGGTCAAAAAAGACTGAAAGGCATGAGTTCTGCAACCTTGTCTTTGCACAACAAAACCTATTCTGTAGAATAGGTTAAAATAGGATCTAACCTGGGATTCCCAAACTAGAACAGAGAGCTGTGTGATAAACGTGAGCAGGTGATTTTGAATATTACTGGGAAACGGGCAGCGGGGGCGGGATGCTGGATATCGGAAGGCACTGCCCACTACATGCCTCCCTGGGGAGGTGTGAGTGGGACAGCGAGTGGCTACTTTGGCAAGACAGTCACCAGGTTACTTCCGTCCCCCTCAGATCCACGAAGTGAGGTTGCATGTGTGGCTGGTTTTCTTGTGGCGAGGGCACTCAGGGTGTAGAAGTCGCCCCAAGTTTCTCTCTGAGGATCCCCTAGGCCTCTCTCCTGGGCCCATCTTAATGCTGTTAGTTTCTTCACTGGCCCACAACCTTTATCATTTCCTTACATGGTTAATATGAGGAATTCTTCTCTCTCCGCATCGTATCCATTTCTCCAGAAAGTGAACACTGCTGCCGACTCTGCCTCCTGGTGCTCAGCCCCCCTCCCTCCAGATGCCGGGTCTGTCTGCTCCTGGTGCCATGAGCATGGTGTCCCCTTATTCCCTTGTTGGCACCGAGGAGCCTGCTTCGAGAAAGTTTTCCTGCCTCCTTTGCTTGCACTAACTCGAGCATAAGCTGCCCGCCCCAGCGGCGGGGAGGCGTGGGCAGAGCCTGCGGCTGGGGTTGGCCTGATGTGGGTTAAGGCTTAAGCTGGACTCCCTGTTTCTGTTTTCTTTCCAGGGAAGGTCTGTTTCTTTAACAACGTTTTATCGAACAGCAAGAAACATCATGAACATGTGCTTTAGCAAGGAGCCCGCACCAGCTGAAATTGAGGTGAGCTGAGCTCTTCCTGCTTGCAGGCTGGGGCGTGACCTCCTGGGGCCTTGTGCCCTGAGGGGACCTGAGTGGTTGGCTTGTCTTCTGATACTGGGGCAGCCAAAAGTTTTACCTCTTGCTCATCTAAACTTCTTCAGAGTAAAAAAGGTAGAGCGAAGAGAGTGAGCCTCCCCCTGGCTTGTCCCTGACTTACCCCAGCCAGAGGTGGAGAAACACGGAGGCCGGGGCGAGCCGGGCGCCACCCCAGCTGGCCGCGCCTCCCCGTTCCCTGTGTGTCTGTTACGCAGGAGAATGTTTGGGATTCCTTGAAACCGTAGTTGTGCTGTGCCCTCTCCCGTTTTAGTTAGTGGGATTGGCAGAGTGCCATTTTCGTGCTCCTGCCAGCTCTGTTCTTTGAGTTAGTATGAGGTTGGAAAGATAGTGAGCACCTCTGTACCCAGACCTATTAGGGGGATTTTGTGTGAGGCGCTCCAGGACTGAGACCGGGTCTTTTAATCACCTCCCTTTGGCCAGGGCCCAGCTGAGCTGCTGTGAACTTCCAGACGCTGACATCGGTGGGCCCTTGGCAGCACTTGGTCCTGTCAGGGAAAGAAACCAAACTTGCAGCGCTTGTTAAGGGCAGCTGTGGGCGGGAGCAAGTTGTGTGAGGGCAGTTTGTCTTTTGATGTCTAACAGGCACCACGTCTTGTGCTCTTCAGTGATGGATGCCACCTCTTCTGCATAAACCCAGGCTGGCCGCTAGGGGCCCAGCCATCCTGATGTGACCAAGTTTCCCCAGGAGTGGGACTTGCAGGACAGTCTAGGCCAAACCAGGACACCTGGCCCCTACGTCAGGGCCATGTGGTGCTGCGCTTCTAATAGTCCTCATCAGCCCTTCCCCGGCTTGGTGGATTCAGTGTCTGCAGCACCGCAGGCATCCCTTTAGGTCGTGGGTCTCTGTTGATATACAGTCTGCCCCAACCCTGGGCTCTGGCTGCTGCCTGAGACACCCTGCACCATCCCCCAGCTGTGGCCCAGCCAGGGCCATGTTCATCAACCACAGGGTCAGCCAGCCCGATTCTGGGACATGTGTGGCCATCACAGGTGCTTATGGCATTTGTGGTAGAGACGTCAAAAGAAAGGAACGTGGCTCTTTGGAGAAAGAGACCTTTGTTGCCCAACATCCATCCTTGTGGCATCTTGAAGGTGCAGGTTCATTGCCATCCACAGCGTGAGGAAAGCTGGGCTTATTTTAGTTTCCTACTTGGGATTCATCTGAAAGTCCAGCTTTCGCTTTAGTTGTTACACAGTATTTAAACACAATGGGAATGTTTGCTAAAATTCAGACTTTTTGTCTGAGGCTGTCTAGCTTCTGGGTCCTTCAGAGAAGGCCAGGACTTCCTTTGGCCAGTGCTCAGCAACCGGAGTGGCCCTCACCTAGTGGTGGGTCCCCTCCCTTCCCCCACAGCCTTGTTAATCTACCAGAAGTTGCTGTCAGCCTAATATACCAGTGGCAGGGCCGGGACTGGCACCAGTCCCCTCAACCAGACTGTTGCTTCCTGAATCCAGGCATTTGATGATGTTGAATTTATTCTTGGCATAGTGTGGACATTCCACCTTTGGCTTCTCCATTCACCTGTTGTTGACACGATTGCTTTCACATTTTAGCTGCTGTGAATACTGCTCCCATGAATGTGGGTGTGCAGGTATCTGTTGGGGTCTCTGCTCTCAGTTCTGGGATCTATGTGCAGAGGTCAACTGAGCATTGCTGTCCTACTCAGTGCTCTCTTGGAGACTGTCCTGTGATGGGCTCCTTCATCATCCACTAGTGTCCCCGTGTTGTTAGGCTGAGCTGTGCTCTGTGGCCCAGGCGCAGCGGAGGCTGACTGCCCCTTGCCTCCTCCCCACAGCAAGAGTACTGGAGGTTAGTGGAGGAGAAGGACTGCCACGTGGCCGTGCACTGCGGCAAGGTGGACACCAACACGCACGGCAGCGGATTCCCAGTGGGAAAATCAGAACCATTTTCAAGGTACAGTGGGATTCCATTGTCCACATTCTGGGGACGAGGTGGTGTTCCGCCAGCCTGTGACACCCCCCCTTCTCCTGCAGGCATGGATGGAACCTCACCGTCCTCCCCAATAACACAGGGTCCATCCTGCGTCACCTCGGTGCTGTGCCTGGTAAGTCCTGGGGTCCCTGCCTCGGCAGATTGCAGAATGAGTGTCACCCTGCTGGGAACTGGAGCTGGGCAGTTTCTCTTAAGCATAGCCGGAAAGGGATGGGGGGATTATGAGTAGAGTATATATATTCAAGACACTGATTTGCAGGAAAGAGAGAAATAGGGTCAGAATTGAAGTTGGTGAGTATGTGGAAAGGTGGACCACATCACAGCCTCTAGAAGCTGGGCAGGTGCTTAGTGGCCAGCTCTTCACCTTGAAATTGGTGTTTTCGGAGCTGCAGTCCTGACTCCTTAGGACTACTGCAGGCTCCTGAGTGATAGATTCTCTGTAGGTGTTTGGAAAGCCAGGTGTCACTGAGGGCTGGGACCTGCACACCCAGGTGGAGGCGAGTACTCAGGGACTCTTCAGACCCAGCTTTGTGCTCCCGCCTCCAGCATTGGTTCGGGTCTGGTACCTCTGTTCTCAGCCTTGGGGTCCAGCCCATGGCTGCTGGTTATTTGCCAGCAGTCTTCATGGTCATGTTCCCTGGGGCATCTTGCTGCCCGACTTAGGCATTGAGATGCTCTTTTACTGCTGTGTGTGCCGTGTCCGTCTTGGCCTCGCTTCTGCATAGCAAGCAGGAAAGAGCAAGTACCTTCTCACTGGGTTTGTCTGTCTGGTTTTGAATCCCGTTTCTTTCTCTTTGTATTTGGGGAGAAGGAAGTGATTTCTGATGGTGGTTTCTCTGAGACGTTGCCATCCTTCAGAATGCCGCTTTCTCTCTTTACGTTCTAGGAGTGACAATTCCCTGGCTAAATATTGGCATGGTCTTTTCTACCTCATGCTGGTCTCGAGACCAAAACCACCTTCCCTACATTGACTACTTACACACTGGTGCTGACTGCATTTGGTGAGTACGCGGCCCTGCGGCCGGGAGGCGGGGGTGAGGCGGGTGGGTGCCCTCTCGGCACCTCCCAGCTCTGAGCCTTCGAGAGCTGCTTTTCTGAGAGTCCGGAGCTCCCTGCCCGAGCTGCCCAGCTGGGGTTTCCCACCCCCACGGGAGGGGTGGGAATATTTAAATGGTTCTGATGCTGACTACCTCTTCACGTGCTCATTTATGTTCCCTTTTTTTTGTCAGTTGCCTGCTTCCATTTGATTTTTTTCCTAGGATATTATTTTTTGTTGATTTCCAAGCGTTTGTTTCATGCTAGGGATGAGAAATGGGAAGAGAGTCACAGTGACTGGTGGTGGTGACCATGTCGTCAGCCTGCCCCTAACCGTGAGGGTACTCTGCTCTCTGGCCCTCTCCGGCCCCGTGGGCGGTTGTTTTCAGTGTCTCTGCAGCAGAGTCTCCCAACCCCTGATGGCTGAGGGGAGAGTCATTTTATGGGAAATGGAGTTCTTACTGTGTCCAGACACATACACTGTCTCCCCTGCCCATGTCTGTCTGTCCCGTGAGAGGTGGCCTGCTTCAGTGCCCACCTATGAGCCTGATTGTCACCTCCAACCAGGCCTGATCCGTGGCTGGCTCTTTGGTTCCTTTGTTTATAGTGGCAGATGGGAAATTACTGCAAATAATCAGATGTCTTGTCATCTGACAGTCTACTGGCTTCACGTTCATCCTACACTGGCTGTGTTTATTGTCCTAATGGGGTAATTAGGCACTTTCTTTATTTAAGATAAACAGAGTCTCATCACTAATGTCCACGCTCTAAGCAGCCGGCATCTGCAGCGGTCTCATTATGACACCCCTGCCTCCAGCCAAGTCAGAGTGAGGTAGCTGGTGAAGTGAGCAGGACTGGGAGCCTTTGTGCGGAGGAGGGTGGCCTTCAGTGCCCTGCGCTGGCCTGTGAGTGGTGGTGGCAGCCTGTGGAGGCTGAGAGGGACAGTGGCCTTGGGCAGAGTATGTGTAGACCGTGCAGCCGAGAGGAGAGCAGGTTGGTTCTGGTTCAGGGCGCAAGCGGCTGCTTGGACTGTGGGAGAGGGTGTGGTCGCTCCTCCCCGGAGCCCCAGTGTCCTCCATGTCGTTTCCCCAGGAGAAGCTGCTGTGGACAGCACTGGGCCTGGCTCTGGGTTCATAGGTCCTGAAGACCGCTCAGAGCCTGGTGTGCTAGGGTGCATGTCCAACAAGGTGACAGGAAATAATGGTTGAATTAGAGGTAGGGAAATGGCGAGTCTGTGGACTTTCTGAGGGCTAATCCCTTTACCTCATTGATGGGGATGTGATCGGAGAACTTTATGGTTATGGTTTTTCCTAAAACATGTGATTTAGGTTAGAAACCCTGGGTTTAAATCACAAATCAGTAACAGGATATGTTGGCATTGAAACAACATGAACATAATAAAAACCACTTCATTGCTGCAGCTGAAACAGGATTTGGCCTCCAAGTGAAGGATTTCATCACAGACACCTCAGTGCGGCTGAGAGCAGGCGGCCTGCCCGCTGGGCCTATGGGAAGGTGCCAGGTTGGAACCGGGCCTGAGGGCTGGATGGTTGTCCACAGTGACTGAGCAGTGCAGCCTCACAACGCACGGGAGCTTCCCTAACCCTGACCCGCTGTTACTGGGGCAACGGCTGCATGTGCTCTGCAGCCCTAAGTCTTGTCAGGACACTTGGGACAGAGAGCGGGCTGTGCTGAGATGTCACCTTGCCCAGGGCCCGCTCATGCCCATGGGTGGGAGACAGGGAGGGCCTTGAGGAGCCTCACATACTTGCCTTATGCATGCCGACTGCCTGGCACCTGGATTTCACATTGTAGATGCCCCTCTCTGGGACATCAACAGTAATTCCTTCACTCCTGTGATTGTAGTGAGATTCCAGGCTTTTCTGTCACTTAAAGTCTGTCTACATCTTCAGCCTCTCCCCCCACCCCCTCTTCCCTGGTGGCTCCTTTGCTCCAGCCAGGGGTCTGTTGTCCCAAGCCTTCACCCTATAGCTGCCTTCTCCGCTTAGCTCCCGTCCATCACTTGGTCTGTGTGGCACAGGCCTGTGTGGGTCTGGTTGTCCCATGTGTTTTGCCAGCTGATCCGGGCTGCCTGGGTTCTGTTACTCGCAGCTTCCTTGGTGTGGCAGGCCTGGGTTCTAGGGGTGCCCTCCTCTCATTTCACGATTTCTCAGCAGCTGCAGTGTTGGCCCGAGCGCTGCAGTGAGGCAGGACTCCTTCCCTGACTCTCTCTGTATTTGGAGAACTGAGGGGTTCTTTTACCTTTCCGGGTCACCCAGCCCTCGACTCTGGAGCCAGGAGGTTGAGCTGGGCCAGGCCTTCATGAGGTGGCCCAGGTTGGAGGGCCGAGGGAACCACGTATTCCAGCCCCAACTCCTAGTGCTGCAGCGCCTCCTGTTAAAGAACAGTGTCAAATGCCAACCCAGTGATGAGACACAGCCTCAGAGCACTCACGAGAGGCTAATTGTGTCTGCAGATGTGCCTGGATCTGATTTATATAGGGTTTTAAACATCTGTTTTTGATTTGAAGGCTTTTTGGCTCACATATAGGTCAGATCTGCATAAAAGATGAGCATGTGGTTTGGCTATGCTGACGGAAGTGGTGGTGTTGCCTGGGAGTGGGGTGGATGTGGGCCTGGGAACCATGGTGCCAGGCACTGAGCGGGGGCACCTGACCGATCCCAGGACGTGGTCCCTCCTCTGTGTTTCAGTCTCTCCTCTCCTGCACCTGAGGCCGCTTTCCAGGCCTGTGTTTGCTAATTTCACCAAGGGAGGACTCAAGGTGGGCCTAGCATGTGCTCCCCAGGCAGAGGGTCCTGGTCAAGTGTCTGTTTCTGCCTGTCTCCTAACTGCCCAGGTATTGCATTCCTGCTGAGGAGGAGAGCAAGCTCGAGGACGTGGTCCACACTCTGCTGCAGGCCAACGGGACCCCAGGGCTGCAGATGCTGGAGAGCAATGTCATGGTACATACAGCTCCCTCCTGGCACTGGGACGGGCCATGGGCACGGGGAGGGCAAAGCTGTTTGACATTTACCTTCTGGGCTGACCTGCCTTTCAAAGGCACAGTGGACTGCAAAGCGAATCCTTAAGGCATCATCCAAACTGAATGTCCAGTTTTATGGAAACCAGACTAAGATGTTTTCCTGAGATCGCCTAGGATAGTGGGCCCGTGCACACGGCCTTTGAATCTGTTTCAGGACTGGTTTTGTGTGTGGAGATGGAGTGCATGGTGAGGCGGGGCCTGATTTTGGGTGGGCACTTGGCATCTGTTGGTACCGCCACTCCCACCTGCTGGGCACCTGGATGGCTGAACCACAGAACAGAAATGCTCGACCTTACAGGGAGGGGCACAAAGGCTTCTGAGCCCATTTTCAGAAAGTCATGGGGCTGCTGAGCTCCTTGGAGGCTTTCCAGCCTTGAGCTCTGTTCTGACACCTGAGCTGAGACCTCTCTGGCCACTGCTGACCCCTCCCTGTGTCTCCTTTTTCTGCTGGGCCCCTAGCTGAGCAGCAGCCCCTTTGGGGATGCAGGTTCGAGGGTCCATTGTCTGTATCCCTGTGGCTCTGCCTGGCTCTGGAGTCAGCCTAGTGATCTTCCCAGATTTGGGAATTCTTCCCATTCCCACTCCTGGCAGTGCTGGGCAGGGACAGGAAGGGCTCCAGTGTGTTGTGTAGGGCTGTGTCCTCTTATAGTGGCCGTGCCCCTGGGTGGCTCTGTTGTCACTCCTGGTCCAATATCAGTTTAGATCTTCCTTCACAGAAGAAGCTCCAGCCCAGAAGGGGCCCCAGCAGCTGTGGTGGGGCAGTGGGGACGGGAAAGTGGCTGAGTGCAGTCCTGCTGGGAGTGTGTCTCAGCCCCCACCTGTCTCCCCAGATCTCCCCAGAGGTGCTGTGCAAAGAGGGGATCAAGGTGCACAGGACCGTGCAGCAGAGCGGCCAGTTTGTCGTCTGCTTCCCAGGATCCTTTGTGTCCAAAGTGTGCTGCGGCTATAGCGTCTCTGAGACCGTGCACTTTGCCACCACCCAGTGGACAAGTATGGGCTTCGAGACGGCCAAGGTAAGCAGGTGATGCATGTGCTTTCACGGGGACACACAAACTCACAAGTCCCTTGCGTGCCTGTTCCTTTTTAGATGTGTTTAATTTCAGAAAATGCCTTAGAAAACCTCTAAGAGGTAGCGGAGAGGTTTTCCTAGGAGAGATCTGTTAGGGGCTTATTTATATCAAGAGAGATTCTGAGCCTGGCTGGTGTGGCTCAGTGGTTGAGCATCGACCTAGGATCCAGGAGATCGGGGTTCAATTCCTGGTCAGGACACATGCCCAGGTTGCGGGCTGCAGCCGATCAATGACTCTCATCATTGATGTTTCTAGCTCTCTCCCTCCCTCTCCCTTCCTCTCTCTGAAATCAATAAAAAAATATATTTAAAAAAAAAAAAGATTCTGAGTCCCATTGTGGACCCTCTGTAACATTGGGAGGATGGTACTTAAGGTAAACCCTTAGAATGGGGAGAAAGTCTCCCCTGGTTTCACATCGTGGCCCCTGCCGTAGCTGGCGGCACAGCGATGGTGTTTCCTGGTGTCTGGTGCCTTTCTCATGGGCAAACAAGATCGTTGTACGATTTTCAACTGCTTTGAAACCAAATGGAACTCAAAGTTTGAAAATTCAGATAGGCATCCTTGGCCCAGTAAAGGAAAAGCTTGCCTCGTAATGAAAATCTACCTTAAAGGGATGTGACGGCCTCTTTCAGGAAATGAAGCGTCGCCATATAGCTAAGCCATTTTCCATGGAGAAGTTACTCTACCAGATCGCACAGGCAGAAGCAAAGAAGGAGAACGGCCCCACTCTCAGCACCATCTCGGCCCTTCTGGATGAGCTCAGGTAACCAGGCCCGGGGTCCGAGACCCGGGCTCTGCGGGGTGGGGTGCAGCTACCGGCTCAGAATGGCAGGGCCCACCTGGTGCTTGGCCGGATGGGCGAAACCTTTTGGGTGTGTTTCTTTTTCTTTTTTAAATTTCTACTTGTTTTCACATTTGATATTTGGGGTCTGAATTTCCTGACGTGCTGATGGGAAAGGTTGCCCCTCTCTGTGGGAGTGGCTGGGAGGTGGGCTCCACCTCTGATCCTAGCTGCACGTGGCCAGGGAGGAAGTGGTGGCCGCGGCCTCATTTCTAGAGGTCGGGGTGGGTACGGAGAGGCCCACAGAGCCCCCCACTCGGTTTTCTTGCCAACCTGCTCGTGATGGGTGTGTGAGACGCCACTGACAGCGGGCATCAGCTGCAGCCCGCCGGCTGCCGGCATCGAGGCCCTCACCCGGCTTCCATCCTGTAGGGATCGCAGGAGCTCTCCGAGGTTGAAGCAGACCAGGGCAGAAGCTGCGAGTGCCGCTGTTTGCTTGGCTTCCTGTGTAACCCTCTTCTCTTTTCCACCATGTAGCTTCGTGGTCTCTCCCTTCCGGGGGAGAGACTCAGTAGTGCTGATGGACAGCACACGGATTTTGACTCGTGTTGGTCGAACCTTTGATGACGATACCGGCAAATAGTTTGTTACATCCATTCTTGGCTCAGAGTAAAGGGCAGGGCACCCCTTACGTAGCAGTGAGGGGGTTGCCATGTGCGCCCCGGTGTGTGGCACTCGTGTTAACCGTAGGCACAGCCTAGTCGTCAGAGAAGCCTTGGAAGCTGGGGGGTTGTCTGACCTTTTGACTAAAGAACACGGGTCCCCAGTTGGGGGCCTGGGGAAGGTGCGCACGTACAGCTCACCCTCCCTCCGACAGGAGGGTGGCCCGGAGGGGGTGGGCAGCTGGCTGGGGCGTGGCATGTTCCCTCTGAAGGTGAGGAAGGCGGCCAGGCCGCCATGCTCAGCCTTCTAAGGGCCCGCGCTTGTGTTGTGTTTGGACAGGGATACGGAGCTGCGGCAGCGGAGGCAGCTGTTCGAGGCCGGCCTCCAGTCCTCTGCCCGCTACGGCAGCCACGACAGCAGCAGCACCGCGGCGGATGGGAAGAAAAAGCCTCGAAAATGGCTGCAGCTGGAGACCTCGGAGAGGAGGTGTCAGATCTGCCAGCACTTGTGCTACCTGTCCATGGTGAGCCCCGGGGCCCGCCTCGGCTCCGCCGGCACGCTCGCGGAGCTGCCCTGCAGACGGGGGCTTTATGCTTGGGAAGCCTGTCGGGAGGCCCAGCCTTGGGGCCTCACCTGCAGGATCAGGCGCCTCATCCGCAGCGGCCAGGTCCCAGAGGCCGCGTGCGGGTGGGCCCTGCCCTGCCCGTCCCCCCACAGGGCCTCTCCTCCTCACGTACAGCTACATGTCTGCAGGAAGTGTGCCTCCCTCCCTCCCTCCCTGCTGCTGCCCTGTCACCCCGGTCCCCAGGCGTCCCCCAGTGAGGGGCTGGGCTGCCCCCACTCTGCTGCCCAAGTTGACGTGGGCCTCGTCTGACCTTGGCTTTTCCCATTTCCATTTGGCTACGTGACCGATCTCATTGCCCCTCAGGGCTCTGACATCTCTCTTTGGTTAAAACCAATGTTTCTCCTCAGCAGCACTCTCCTGCCTCCAGCCCCCAGCTGATCAGAGTGGCCTCTGAGCCAGCTCTTCCTCCCGCCTCTCCGTCTGCTGGCACAGCGCGGTCTGGCACCCCTTCTTCGGGGTGGTTTCAGCAGTGCCTGAGGGGCCGCTCAGTGCCTCAGCCTTGCCTGTGACTGTCCATGTTGCATTACCCCCACCCCATTCCAGGCCCGAGGAACCCTGGCTGAGGTGACGGCTGGGCCGGTGTAGCCCTTGCCTCTGCTCTTGAGCTCAGCTGTCACCTCCCACTGGGCAGCTGTCCTGACACAGGTCTGTGGGGTGTCCCAACTCCCATTCACAGTGCTCCTCACACCACACGCCTGGGCCTGGCACTTGCGGCCTCTAGGGCTGGTGCCTCCCCCCGTGTGGATTCTTCCTCCAGAAAGGGAGGCTGATAGTAGGTGCCCACCCCATACCAGCATGGCACCAGCATCCCCCACACGCGGCGCATGTGTCGCTAGAGGCAGAGCAGGTTTCAGGCCTGACTGCGCTGCTCACCTGTGTGCCTGGCTCCCACCCAGCTGCCCCGCAGAGAAGCTGGGTCACAGCCACTCCTGAGTCGGGTCCTCTCTGTACCATCAGGGAGATGTTACAGCACAGAATGGGAGACACTGCTGTGTTAGTTCGCTGGGTCTGCTGTGGCAAATACCACAGACTGGGGGCTCAAACGAAGACACTTATTTCATCTCATTGCCGGAGGCTGGAAGTCCAAGATCAAGGTGTCAGCAGGCTTGGTTCCTTCTAAGGCCTCTCCCTCCCTTGGCCTGTTAGGTGCTGCTTTCTTCTCCCAGTTTCTTCCCCTGGTCTACCCTCTATGTGTGTCTCTGTCCTCTTTTTTTTTTTTTTTTAAACATGTCTTTATTGATTTCAGAGAGAGGGAGGGAGAGGGAGAGAGGGAAGAAACATCAATGATGAGTCATTGATCAGCTGCCTCCTGCATGCCCCCCACTGGGAATCGAGCCCGAAACCCGGGCACGTGCCCTGACCCAGAATTGAACCACGATCTTCTGGATCCTAGGTTGATTCTCAGTTGCTGAGCCACGCCCGGCCTGGCCTAATCTCTCCTTGTAAGGACACAAGTCATATCAGACTAGACCCCACACTTATGACCTCATTTTACCTAATCATCTCTTTCAAGGCCCCGTCTACAAATAGTTACACTCTAAGGTACTGGGGTTAAGCCGTTAGCCTGTGGATTGGGGGTGGGGGTGGATATAATTCAGTGCATAACAACCACGTCTTTATCTAGTCTTTTTTTGTCCAAGTGCTTTTTAAAAGATAGAATTGAGAACCATGCTGTGTTTTAAAAGAAAATGTCGTAGTCTTTCTCTGGATCTTAAACAGATTTGTGAACATCACTCACAAAGACTGAGAGTTCTGTGTTCATTCCTCTCGCTCTGGCGTGGATTGTTCCCATGGGAATAGTAGCTGTTACTCCCCATGAGCATGACCGACACTGCTGTGGCCTCCGCGCCTGGCACTGGTCCACTCCCTTGCGCCCTGAGGACGGCACTGTATACACTCATTTGCATGCTGTCTTTCAGAAACCTGTGCCTCACCAGGCTTTTCTTATCAGCCTGAATATTAGTTTATAAAGCACCCATCCTAAAGTCATAGGTAAAAATTGAGGTTTTACTTTTATAATTTCCCTTGCTTGGATACTTAGGAAGTTTGTGGATTTTTGTTTACTAGGTTTCACATTTTTGTCCATCCCTGTCTCTAGCCCCCAGTGTCGTTAAAGGTGACGTGTTTCTGCCAGTAGGTGTCATGTCCTTACTCTCCTGCAGCTTGTGTTCTCATGTTTGCCTAGCAGCACTGGAGACAAGTCCTAGGTCATCCCCTAAATCTTTATGAAACGGCCGGTGAATTTCTTGCATCTTATGGCTTAAGGCAGCATTTCCTTTTTTTAAAACACAGAATTCAAACAGGACTAGACGTCAGGGTGGGGGTGAGAACCCCTACAAACCAGGCAGCTGTCCTTTCTACTTGTCCCTGGTCAATTGCCCATGCTGCCCATGGTGGGTCAGGCCTGCCCACATGCTGCCCACACGTGCCCCACGCAGCCTTGGGGCCTGGCATGAGCATTCACACAGCCGCTGGAGGCTCTTGTGGGTGTGGCAGAGGGTCAAGGCTGTACTGGTCGGTGTTTGGCCAGGGGTACTGGGTCCCCAGTGGGTGCGTGGAGAACTTCCATTTTCCCAGCTGGACTGAGCTGTGATGTCCTGGCTGTGTTCCCTGAGACCTGCTCCTGCTCCATTCTCATGCCACCCTGCTAGGGTAGTTTTGAACAAAAGTCTCTGAACGTGAGAGCTTCTTTCTTAACAAGCATCAGGACTTCATCCCATCTTCCCCAGCCTAACAGCACCTAGACCCTCACAGGAAAGTGCGGCATAAATCTGGAGGGAACACGAGGCCACCCTTAGGTGCAACTTGGAGACAATCAGTTATTTGTTTCCAGTTGAAGATCTTGTTCCAGGTGATTATTTTTCCCATTAATTTCCAGTGGTTTTGAGTGATGGACACTCCTTAGCTTGGACTATAGACATCAGGGACAGGTGGTTCCTGGGGCCTCTCCCCACGCTCAGTCGCCCCTCCAAGGCAGTCCCCCTGGACAGCAGGGTTTCGATCACCTTTCGAACCTCAGGAGTGTGTCTTCCTTGCAGGTCGTTCAGGAGAATGAGAACGTGGTGTTCTGCCTGGAGTGCGCCCTGCGCCACGTGGAGAAGCAGAAGTCCTGCCGAGGACTGAAGTTGATGTATCGCTACGATGAGGTCAGTCCCCGCCCAGTGCAGCCTCTGGGGTCTGGCTTCCTGATCGCAGGCAGGGGATGGCCACTGTGTCGCTTGCCCTCATTTTCTGCAGGGATGAGTGGGCCTGCCATCACCCAGCTTGAGCCAGTTTGGCACGGCCTGAGACCAAGTGCATCCGCGTGGTTCTGGGTGCTTGTGGGCTGGACAGGGCCTGGCCTGTGGGAAAGTAGCTCTTTGTTCCAAGACGGAGGAATTGTGAGGTTCAGTCTGACCCGAGAAACCCAGGAACTGAAACTGAAAATTTCACTTTCATAAACTTAGTTTCATTCGGTTTTCTCCTCCATGTTAACCATAGCTTTGTAGGTGTGGGAGTCCTGTCCACACCTCCCAATGCAGGGGCGCAGCTCTGCCCTGGCCACCAGGGCCTCCTGTATAAGGGACTTGATTTCAGGATCTGGTGCTGGCATCCCCAGTGCCACACTGGCTGGCTGGGCTACTAAGGTAATGGGGACTGTGCTGTCACTTACAGCCAGGGCCCAGGTCCAGGAGGGACAGTGGCCTGCCATGTACGCCCATCACAGCTGAAGGGGACTGGTTCCCATGCTGACCAGCAGGGGAAGGTGAGGGCCTTTCCTTCCTTCCTCTAGGCTGTGGGCCGTCTGGACCTGTGACATGCTGAGTATGCAGCGGTGGCTGCTTGGAGGGGCTCAGAACCAGGCCTGTCTAGTTGTCGTGTTCTCATAGAAGCCCCACTCCAGGGTTTCGGGGCCCCGGCCCGAGGAGCCTTCCTGCGGTAGCCCAGTGGGGTCTCAGACATAAAGAGGTAGATAGTGCAGACCTGTTCCTGACCGCCAGCTACATCCCTGTGCTTCACCTGTTTTGGTGGCCCTTTCCTGAGCTTGGAAGGGGTCTCTGCTCTGAAGTTCTGTTGTGGATCAGGTCCTGGTGAGGAGAACGTTTTCAGTCTAACTTAGAGCCCTGCCCCATGCTTGGCTGCAATACCTCACACATACACTGACCATTACAGCCCTGGCAGTGCTCTGCCAGGGCAGGGGTAGGGGCGGCTGTCACGGCATCGTGGCACTTGGGCAGAGTAGACACCTTCCATCTTTTACAGAAAAGCTGCAAACAGCAACTCGGCATCTTCTGTCTTCAGCGGCCGTTATCTAATCTCAGGTCAGAACTTCAGAGCACACACAAGCACCAGGGCTGGGCTCCAGGCAGGGCCATATGCACCAAGGTTGTGGCACGAGGTCGGGGGCAGCTCTCGAAGCTCCCCCGGGCTTCACACCTGTCAGAAAATTGCATTCAGCAGATTCTCTGGCCTCAACTGAAACAGGGAGCCTTGCTGTCACACTTTGCGTCCATTTCTGTAAATCCCGTTGGTTCCACCTTCCAAGTAAACCCCAGGTCCAGCCAGTTCTCACCGCTGCCAGTGCTCCCACTCATTTAAGGAGCTGCCACTTAGTCCAGGATGGGTCTCCCTCCATTCCTTCCTGGTTGCTGTGCTCCAGGTGTTTCTTTACGGAGACCCCCCCTCTCCCCCTTGGCCTCAGGGACACGCTCCTTCCGGAGCTGTTCCTGTGCCAGCTGGTCGGTCTACAGTCAGTTCAACTCCCCCATGGATGAGCACCCTTCGTTCAGCCAAGGGGGCTGCAGGAAAAGCCCCTGCACTCGAGTCTCTCACCTCCGGGAGCAATGAGCACGTCACCCCCTTTAGCAGTTTATTGTAAATGCTTTCAATCTACTGTGCAGTGGCCTTTTTAGAGTAAACTGGCAGCTTCCTGGAATACACGGCCCTGCTCCTCAGAGGCACCTCTTCTTGGGACCCAGAGCCCTTCCTGGGGATCCCCTCTCAGATTGCCGTGGGGACCGTGTCACCCATCCTGGCTGGCCCACTGCATGCTGCCACCTGAGGGCCCTTCCTCCAGGACCATCTTTTGCAGCATGGTCGTCATCACTGTAGTGCCTACAGTGGCTGTAAGCCATGTACAGGGCACAACCTCTGCAGCCATGGGCCCTGCCCGGAGCCTCCCTCCTGCTCCCCGTGGGATCCCAGGAGTTATTCCAGTGGGAGGGTGACCGCACGGAGCCATCGCACACCCAGGCGCACCTCCGGGGGCTTGGGACCTCCACAGGAGCTCAGCTCTGGGTCAGATTTGGTGAAAGCCTTTGGCTAAATTGTGAGATTGGAAAGCTGAAAATAGGTCTCTGCATCTTTGTTGTTCAAGAGCATGTTCAGCAAAGACAGTAACCAGTGCACCCTTCCGCCAGCACTTTAATAGCAAATGTCAGAACAGTTAAAAGTAGCCCCTGGTGTGGAGTAAGAACAGCTCTTTGGTAGATGGCAGAGGGCAGCCGAAGCTCTACAGTGTGGTGTTCCCACCTCCAGCTATCTTGTAGCCCAGGTACTGGATGTGACCGTGGTCCTGGAGAAGAGTCACATGTAGGGTCTGTCAATCTAACGCTTAGTCATCAGTGTTTTGCCAGGGGCCTGCTTTATTTTAGTAAATGAAAATCTGCAAATCTGTTCCGGGAGTTGAACTGTTTTTTGTTTGCTTGTTTTTTAATTGGGGGGTTTCTGGCTCTGGTTTGGATTTTGGAAATGCCTCTGAGAGCACCACTAGCTCTTGTCTAAGCCCAGAGTGTCCAGCAAACTACCCCCGTCTGGGCCGTGGGTCACGGTGAAGCGTGGGCTTCCTTACACTGTGGAGGTGGCTTTCGTCCCACGTCACTGGGTTTTACAGAAGCTCATCTATCCCTTGTTACATGTTTATTGTCTGTGTTCAAGTGGCCACAGAGATGGTATTTCATAAATGTACAGCCTGCCCTTCCCAGGGCATCTTCAGCTTTCTTCCCCTTCAGACACTTCTCACTCCTTGCCTTGTACACCTGTCATTTCTGTATGACGGGAGCCGCCTATTGCGCTGTTTGCAGAGAGCAGGCCTGGCCCTGGCTGGCCCCCAGGCATCTGTGAGTAAAGAGGTGGCCACCTGCCCTCCCTGGGTCCGCACGGTTCCCTCCGGCCCTGGCCCAGCAGGTTTCATAAACTGTTATGTCAGAGCTATATGTCATTTTGATATTTTCGTGTGGTTTCTTTTAAAACTGGAAGATTATGATTTATGTTAAAGTTACAAATGTAGTTTTGACACCAACACACTTGAGTGAGTTATGTAAGAAAGAGTGTTTTGTTTGCCATTTCTCCTCCATGGAGGAGGACGCGGGAGTAACGGAAACATTTCTAGACAAGTGCTTGCGTTTATTTGCGAGACCAGGCAAAACAGGCTGCCAGGGTAGTGCGTGAAACGGCTGCTTCAGGTGTGTCACCATCCTAGGAGCACGTTGAGGACCTGAGGCCTCGAGCCCACAGGTCCTTCTCCTAAATGCTCGTTGTGGAGACAGTGAGCGGAGTCCCCCCTCCCCTTCCTAGGTTGGGGATCTGGGTGGCAGCCGGCTCACCTCTGAACTCTGAGGCGGCGGGGCTCTCGCAGGGGTCCTGGCCGGCCCACTGATGCATCTGTGTGTCCGGCCATGTGGTGAGGGTGTTTGTACCGCAGGTAAATGAACAGACCCAGGTCAGGATGCAGCTCTTAGGAAACAATTACATAATTAACTGTGTAGTTGCAGGATTTGGTGTATTTCAGAGCTTTAGCTATTAGTTTGTTTAAACCTTGCAGCCACCAGGAGGTGCTATTAGCTCCCTTGAGTTTTGGATGAGGAACTGGAGGTTAGGAGGTTGTGACAGGCAGGCTGTCATGAACCTCAGCCTGCACCGTGCTGGCTCTCAGATGAGAGGTGGCAGTGGCTTCTCCCCAAGAAGGAAAGTGTGTTGTTTTGGGTGCCCAGCTAGGGCTCTGTGTCCTCAGAAGTGTTCTATCCAATTTGTTCTCAGTCCTGCCGCATCTCAGATTCGATGGGGAGATTTCTAGTCTGGCTTTCCTGAGACATTCCTTGAGCAATGCTCGGAAATCTGCATTTTGATGTGGTCTGATGAGGGTGGCTGGCAGCCCTGCCATGCCGACCAGCTCTGCTCTCAAAGGTCCCTGGGGTGGTTTTGGGGGCAGCGCTCTTCTGGTTTAATTCTTTGTCTTCCTTCCAACCCTAAACAGGAACAGATTATCAGTCTGGTCAATCAGATCTGTGGCAAGGTATCTGGTAAGAACGGCAGCATGGAGAACTGTCTCAGTAAACCGACACCAAAAAGGGGGCCTCGCAAGAGAGCGACAGTGGACGTGCCGCCCTCCCGGCTTGCGTCCTCCGGGTCATCCAGGAGTGCTGCGAGCTCGTCCTGAAGCTGCCAACACCGCGGTCGATTGAGATCTATTTTTTTGTAATTATTATATTCTAGTTTGGAGTACTTGCTGTAGGATACAAGCTGTCTTTGCACTAGCTCTAAAGAAGATTTTCTTCTGGTTTTAGAGAACTAATTTTGTTTTAGCATTAAACTGTTGAACTTTTTTTTGTACTTAGAATACCTAGATACTGCAGTCAGATTTTTGAAACTGCCGTATAGTCACTGTTTTAAAACCCTTGAGGGGCTGTATTAATTTGTATTGCCCCTGTGGCTGACAAAAGCCTTTTTGTTCTGTTTCGTTTTTGTAACTGTTGGGGAATAAAGGCTTTTTAACCCATTTTTGAAGAGGGTGAAGTTTGGAGAACAAATTTTAAAACCTTCAGTCATGTGAGCAGATTTTTCTAGAGAGGTAAAAGGGATAGGAGACACATACACACGAAACTTGAAAAGAAATGGCTTTACTTTGGCTGTCTTTTCTTCAGTCATGTGCAAGATGAGTTTGTAACTTTAAAAACCGGAGAACCCCCCTTTTGTTTCTCTGGGCGGTTGTGGCAGCTGAAGGCGGACGTGTTTCCTAACCATAGGCAAAGCGAGGAGACTTGAGTGACGAGTTCTCTTTACCAGCACATCACTATGCATCTGAGGAGAAGAGAAGAGAGAAGACTGCCTGCCTCGGAGGGGTCACGTGCGGAAACCTGTGCCTGATTTCATTAGGAAATCCATTCTGTTATTTTTTGGTGCTGTTGGCTACTTTATCAAAAAACCCTTCAATAGCATCCTTAAGGAAAAAAAAGGAAAAAAAGTGATTGAAGCCGTAAGTGCTTCTTTGTCATAGACGTGCAATCTTTCTAACATTCCATCTTCATCTCACTGCTTGTTTCACACCTCACAAGTCAGCATTAATCTTTTTAAATTTGTTTCGTTTATGATCACACTTAGAGCCACTAGGAGGTCTGCAGTTCTTTTTGAATGTGAAAATGCATTTGCGCTCATCTTGTCTATTTTTTCTCTTCATGTTGTAACAAAAAGAAAAAAAAGAAAAAAAAAAGAATCCCATCCTTTTGTACATATGCCTGTAAATTGTTTTAAATACTTGAGCCTTTTTCTCAGTGGGAGTGGGGAGGGGGGTGAGAAGACAAGATGAAGAAAAGCCTTACATTTCAGTTTCTTCATCGGTTGGATTGGATGCTTACAGGGTTTTTCTTGTAACATTTATAAGTGCTGCTTACATCACTGAACAACAACAAAATAATAATGGAGTAGCTGTTGCCCTTCTCCGGTTGTGTGTACAGTATGTGTGGAATAAAGAAGGGAAACTGTTTTCACAAGCTGTTCTTTGTTTCATAATTGGATTCATCGATCCCGTAGCTACCCATATTGCACTGAGCTTGCCAGTGGGACTGTCAGGAACGTCCTGTGATCCACTTTGTTGGTTGTTGTTGCAGAAGACTGAACTGTTTTGGAATATTTAACAATTACATAAACAGTCAAGTGTTTTCCAATGTGGTTGTCCGGTTTTTATGGCCTTGCTGTGTACTTTCCCTCTTTTTGACAGTAAACTTCTGCCTATGGCTTACAGTTTGACATTTAATTTATTAGCGCTGCTCTGCACTCCTCCCTTGGGAGGGAAAACTTCATGTTGTTTATTGCCAGTTTTTTGTTTACTTTTCAGGTTTGTACTACAAGGTTTAATAATAAAAACAAAGTTTTTTGGACATTTCTCTTGTGGAAGATGAGTGAATGAAACGAGCTCTTTCTTTCCCGGTAAATGGGTAGAGTGCGAGGATCCTCCCCCTCGGCCAGAGTGGCACAGACAACACAGCCTGATCTCGCTCCCTTTCCATCTGCTGCTGGTGGTTTCAGGCCCCTGCAAACAAAACCAAATGCCTGCTGTGTGCCTCTTGTTTTCTGTGGGGCCCACTGGGAACCAGCTAGTGGTCCTTCTCCCAGGAAGTGGCCCTGACACGGGTCCCTTGGCTGGGTGCGAGGGAGTCCTTATTCTGAGTGGAGGGAGAGCCATCTCGCTAGGCGCTGGGCTGTGAGGAGCGCTGAAAGGCAAACCCCATCTCTGGGACCAGTTTCTTGTCAGGAGAAGAATGGTGTATGGATGTCTATGTCTGTTTCTCTTCCTTCGGCCCAGATGTGTGTTAAGTGGGGGTTAGTTGTTGAACTGTTAATAATGACCAGATGAAAACTCAGGTTTTGTTAGAGCTGAGTTTGACTACAGTTAGAAAATTCTGCTTCCTCTAAAACCTGTCTGTTAAGGGCCTTTTCTTCTGTGCTGAGCCCACGTGGAGACTACATCTCCCGGCCCAGCCAGCCCTGCAGGCTCCTCGGTGGCCTGAGTGGACCCGAGTTGCCCTTCCTGCGCCCTAAAGCCTGAAGGATGCGTGTGTGTAGAAGCCTTTCTGTACAAACTGGCCGTGTAGTCTCTCAGTTTAAAGTCCTCAAACTTTATTGTTAGCTTTTCTTTCAGTTTCTCACAGATTATTGGCAATTGTGTGACAATCAAGAGCCTCCGTTAAACCACCTGCCTTCACGGTGGGATTCTGCACCCAGCTGGGTCTTCCTCTAAGGTGCTCGGAGAATAGGATGCCCAGGTTTAGGAGTCACTGTCGTCTGTGTGTAACGTGGCAAGGGCAGTGTCCACCTCAACTCCCTCCTCATCGGATTGAACAACAGGGGACTCCCCACCCTCACTGGGGTCCTGGGTGGCTGGGTCAGTGCAGGTGGAAGATAAGGAAGGTGGCTGGGTTCGTAATTCAGAAGGGTTTGGAACCTGAAGAGTAAGTTCATCCTGACCAGTACTTGACTTGGGTCCTGCAAAATAGGAAAACACCTGTGATAGAAGTATTGCCATTTAAAACTGCCACTGAACATGCTGGTCTGAACTCAATGCTGATACAAAGGGTGTGGGTGTTTTGTCATGGAGAGCTGGGGCCTGCAGAATGAGGCTGCCCGTGACAGTGCCAGAGCTATCCCTGGAAGAGGCTATGCTAGGTGACTACAGAGGCCCCCAGGGGCCCTGAGCTGATCCTTCTGCCACCTGTGACAGATGGGAAGCTCCTGAACCCTTCCCACTATATTCAGTAAAATTCTGTGCTGAAGGTGCAAGGGCTCACACTACATTTAGTTGAGGAGCATTCCATGTAACCACGATGAAACCTAGAGTTCTTTAATCCTTGGAAGTAATTCAGAGAAAGCAATGTTAAGAGAAAAACTTTAGCACTTCTCCAATTTCATTGGGAGTAAATAAGTTCTTAAAGGAATTAAAATCATATGCAGATGAGTCACTGCTTCTCAATCTCTTTTTGATGCTGGGAAAGAGGCCAGCATTTCTTCCCCCCTCCAGTGTCCCAGCCTCTCGGGATGGGGCTTCCCCTCCTGGGGACAACGTTTTTCTCACAGATTTGCTGGGAGAAGAGGACTGAGTTGAAAACACCACAAACGCAAGAACTCTTAAGGAGCTTGACCTCAGAGGCAGTGGACCTGTGGTGCTGGCAACACTGTCTAGAGGGTCCAGGTGCTGCGGGAGGACTGTGCTTCGCCTTTCCCTTGTGTGGCTGTAGGAAAACCTCAATGCTTTCTTTGTAATGATGTGCATATAAGAAGACCCCCCCAGAAGGTCTGGTCTGAAATTTAAAATGAAGTGAGCCCAAGTACAGGTTTGGAGCCTCAGTAAATAATGAATGAATGTGAAATTTTGGGAAGGCATAAAATGGAGAGAAAGTGCCCACGAGGTTGTGATGATTAAAAATATAAGCCAAATGCTTATACAACACCTTGGCCTTGCCCACAGCAAAGATGAAATAACAGCTGAATGAAGGGGTAAGAGTTTGAAGATGACAGATGCATGCTGAGACCAGCACACGGTGTGAGCTACACAGGCAAGCTCCCACCTCCTAAATTCCAGTCCTTACAATAACCACAAAAACTCAAATTCTGAGACAGAGGAGGTAACACGAATTAAGAAAGCCCCCTGTTCTTGGATGGTGTCTAGGTAGAGGGCAGAGCACTTACAATGAGAGATTCAGGACTGAACAGCTGGTTCATTGGGCACTACTGTGAGACCAGACACGGGTGAGGGGGACAAGCAGTTGACTTGGGCATTATTACTCTGATGTCCTCCTTCTGAAGGGAAATGTTAGTATGATGTTTAGGCAAGTTTGCCACCACCTACCTAAGATGGGGGACAGCACGGCATTATCTTCACCTGAATTCAAAAAGACATCCAGGGCCTCCTGGTCAGACACGTCCATCAGATCCATCTGCTCCAGCATGTCGATGTTCACCTCCATGGACGACATGCTGCCCATGGGCTCTGGGAACAGATTGGCACCAGAAGAAATTACACGTTATTTTCAGCAATACTTTCAGAACTTCAATTAGTTAGGCTAACTGCACTGTATTTTCTAGGTATAAAATGTGTCCTGCTACTCTAAACTTTTAAAAATACACCTGGGCCCTGGCCAGTGTGTTCAGTGATTAGAGCATCAGCCTGTGCACCGAAGGGTTGTGGATTTGATTCCCAGTGAAGGGCGCGTACTTGGGTTGCAGCTTCGATCCCCAGCCCCCATAGGGGCATATACGGCAGGCAACCAATTGCTGTGTCTCTTTCACATTGATTTTTTTTCTCTCTCCCCCCACCCTCCTTCCCTCCTTTCCGCTCTCGAAAAATCAATGGAAAAAGTACCCATGGGTGAGAAGTAACAAAACAGAAAATACAGTTGGGAGCAACAGATTAAATGACACCCAGTTTGGTACTTTAAATCCATCCTAGATTAACCCTGGTCACTATCGCCTTTTACACCTTCCCTAGCGGCTTCTGTTCACCAGCAGCCCTTTGCCGGCAGGTGCTGCAGACACACCCATCTCTGCATTGAGCAGCTGGCCGTCGGGAGTAGGGTGCTGTCTGAAAGAGGCTAACACTCCTGCAGCAGCCGGAGGTTAGCAAGCTTCGCCCCACGCCCCTGCTCTGCTCTTCAATCTCAGCAGCAGGCAGTGCTGGGGCACTGGCCAGCTGGAGAGATGGGACCACGAGCTCCCTGCAGCGAAAGCGCAGACTAGGAAAAAACACAGCCCACCAGCCAAAAGCTGTATGACCACTAGGGGTGTCTCAGCCAGGGTGCCAGGTGAGAGGCCTCCTGGGTCTGGAGTTCATGTTTAAACCGCCTCTGTGGTCCAGAAAACTACAGCCAGTCAGTCACTCCGGGCATTGGTGATAGTGCCTGGGAGATGCAAGTACAAATTATTTCTGGATGGAGACACCCTTAACTTTGCATCAGAGGAAAATAAAGACAAATTCTAATCCAATCCCAAATTTACAGTGCACACAGGGAAGTCAGAAACAAACTCGGTATTAGCATCTGTTCCCAAGAATTTTAAATGACAGTATTTTTTCCTTTTTAATCTTCACCCGAGTATATTTTTTCACTTTTCAGAGAGAGTGGAAGGGGGAGGAGAGAGATTGATTGGCTGCCTCCCACACTCGCCCTGACGAGCTGGGGATTGAGCTTGAAACCGAGGTACGTACCCTTGGCCGGAATCGAACCCGGGACCCTTTAGTCTGCAGGCTGACGCTCTAACCACTGAACAAACTGGCTAGAGCAAATGACAGTATTTTTTAATCAAAAGATGGAGTTAGAAAATGAGCAAGGTATAAAAATTAGAGCAGGCATTTGAAAAAGAGCCAAGTAATTTCCAGATAAGAAAAATTTAATCACTGACATTTAAAACTCTGGGCACAAGTTAAATTGAGGATTAGTAATGAGAGCCAAAGACAAAATTAGTAAACTAGGAGACAGACTGAACAAATTCCCCATTATACAGCAAAGAAAAAGATGGGAAATAGGAACGAGCTTAAAAGAGATGGAAAATGCAAAAGTTTACACACACAGTTCTAAAAGGAGAGAATGTGGGGAGCAGCCATATTCGGAGAGGCTATTTCCCAAACTTGCTGAAAGATCTGAGGTCCAAGATTTAGGAAGCAAAATATATTTCAAGCAAGACAAGATAAAAGAAATCCTGATCTGCATCAATTGTAGTGAAATTGACAGAACATCCAAAGAGAACGGGCAGGTGAAGAAAGACAACAAAATAGACTCAGCTTCTCAACAATATAAGGCAGAAGGCAGAATAAATTCAAAGAGGTGAGATGTCATCTCTAAAATTACATACCATTAAACAGCATTTAAGATCAAGTATAAGATAAGCACTGTGAGACAAATGACACTTCACCAGGAGCCCGCTCTCAGGAAGATTACGAATCCCAGAAGGAAGGTCTGAGATGCAAGAAATGTTAAACAGTAAAAAGTCTTGTAAGTTTGTGAGTTAATATAAAACCTTGAATAAAATACTCATATTAGTGTCCAATTTGGGGTATTTACTCTGGCAGAGTTAAAGGACTGAGCAAAGATAGGAGAGGAAGGCTGTGATGAGAGCTGAAGCAGTGTAAGGTCCTTTTTATTTGGTAGGAAGGGGAGAATCTAATCGTCTTTAGGCACCAAAAAATCATTAAAGTTCAGCACTAAAATAAATGGTAAACAGTATGTAATTTTTACTTTTAGCTGGGGAAAGTTTTTTGTAGTTTAGATGATCCCACTGAAGTGACAATATCCAAAGCAACATTGCCAGGTGCCAGGCAAAGTCTGCCTTCTCTGCATCACACCTGACCAGGGCACCGACCTTGTTACAGCTGCTTCACAGCCAGCCCTATGGATCCACAAGGGACACCAGTGCAGTGTTATCCTGAAGCTCCCTCAAGGCTGACTGGTTGGGGGGACCTGATGGCACAGTAGTCAAACCTGTTCCTGGGGGCCCTTATGTGAGGGTGTTGGGCTGCTAGAAAGTGAGTGACATGCAGCTTTTCTTGTGTGGCTATGGAGGCTATCAGCATGGCATTCTGGCTTTTGGCCTTGCTTTGACTTCTGTTTTGAAAGGGGCAGAGGCTCCCTTTTCTGTCTGTGCTATCCTCCTTAAAGATGTCAAGAGTATAACTTTTAAAACAAAGGAGAGAGAAAATGGGTTAAAAAGCATAGGAAAAGATTTCAGGAAAAAGCACCAAATAAGGTGATAATGAAGTCAGGTATGTCAGTAATCACAATAAATGTAAATGAAACAAATTTGCCAGTTAACAAGAGATTAGAAAACTGAATTAAAGTGATAAAATCTAGCTATATTGTTTATAGGAGACACTCCTAAAACATAAAGACACAGAAACTAGTATTTTTTAAAAGTGGAAAGTGGGCAAACAACTTTAAGAAGAAAGCTGGTATAGCTATATTAATATTAAACAAAACAGACATAAGAGGAAACAAGCAATATTGAGCTAAAGAGTTATACTCCATGATTTTTTTAAAGGTTCAATTATCCAGGAAGATAAAGTGTAACACCCATAATCATGGAGGGGGTGGTTAGGAGGGTTACATGTACCTCTTTGAAAACTGATAATTAAGCAATCCAAATAGTAGTTATATGGGACATTTTAACAACCCAATGAACAGGCTTGATGAAATGGACATACACAGAACCCATGCCTATCATTCAGAATCTTGTTCTCAAGTACACATGATAGAAAAATTATATAAAAACCCATTCTCCAACCACAATTGAAATTTAATCAGAAATTGGTAACAAAAGGTAACTAGAAAAACCTTCATACCTTATTTTAAAACAAGCTTCTAAACAGTTCATGTGTCAAATCTTAAAGGAAAATTATAAATACCCAGAAACTATTATTAGGTAAAGTGGTACCCTAGTGAAAAATTCATAGCTTTGAATACCTTATTAAGAGAAGCCTAAAAATTGAGTCTAAACATTCAACTTAAATTAGACCAAAAAAAAAAAAAAAATTAAATTTAAAAATCCCAGAAAATGTCCAGCACTAAAAAGAAATGATACAGTAGAAAGGAAGAATAAAACTAAAAGTTGGTTCTTTGTTGAAAATGCTTAAAAATGAGTAATTTTAAGATTCATCAAAATAATAAAAGGCCCAAATTAACAATTGAGGGATGCGAAAGCAAACCTAACCTCAGATATGGCAAAGGCTGAAGAGTACAATGGACGTTATGCTAGTATATCTGAAAACCAAAGACGAGCTTGGCAAATTCCATAGAAAATTTGCTAAAATTAACAAGAAATAGGAAGTCCTATAACTGTCAGAGAAAAGGAACAGGTAGTTCCCAGAGAAATCACTGGTCCGAGACAGTTTCAGAGGCAAGTTCTACCCATCACTCAGGAAATAAATGAAATCACTGTGTGCATGCACAGAAAATTCCAATCCCATTTAGCCACCAGTTCTCATTCCATCTAGAAACTTAATGTAATTCCAATCAAACTCTGGACAGTTTTTTTCACAGAATTTGGAAATCTGACTAAAATTTATACAGAGGGACAAAGAGCCAAGAATAGCCAAGGCAACTGAAAAGAGAAAAGAATGTATAAAGTGCATGTAGGGGTGTACAGGAATCACTCTACTATATTTATCAAGTCTTGCTATAAAATAGGGTTCTCAACCTAGCACTACTGACACTTTGGACCAGATAATTCTCTGTTGTGGGGCTGTCCTGTACACTGTAGGACATTTTAGCAGCAACCCTGACCTCCACCCACTAGATGCTAGTAGCATATCCCTAACCCAGTCACAGCAGACATAGCCAAAGGTTCCCTATGGGGCAAATTTCTACCAGTTGAGAACCACCACTTAAAGAATTATAATTAAGATACTATGGTTTTGCCCATCCGGCATGGCTCAGTGGTTGAGCATCGACCTAGGATCCAGGTGATCTGGTTCGATTCCCAGTCAGGGCGCATGCCCAGGTTTTGGGCTCGATCCCCAGCAGGAGGCGTGCAGGAGGCAGCGGATCAACGACTGTCTCATCATTGGTGTCTCTCTCTCCCCCTCTCCCTTCCTCTCTGAAATCAATAAAGATATATTTTAAAAGTAAATAAAAAATGCTTTGGGAAGAGAAAAATTCAGACTGCTATTTCTGACGTAGTGTAATGAGTCTGAAATACTATGTTCACTGTAGGATTTTTAATTTTGATTCTTCTAAATTAAAAGTCCCCCATGTTCATCCCTGGAGATGAATGCCAGGTAAGAAAGGGATGCGTGACTTGCCAGGCCGGGAGTCTAAGGAATGGCTCTGCACAGGCTGTGGGGACATGCCTGTTTGTCATTTGTGAATGTCTTTGCAGCTCCAGCTGAAGCAGACAGTTAAAACACCCACATCCTACAATTTTCTTCGTTAATGCTTTTGAAACCACACATATTGGCAACATGTGCCTGACTCCATATTTTTACCTTAAAAAAATAAGCCTAACACTTTTTGAAACTTGAAGAAAATTGTTTTTTAAGAGCTCAAAACCAAAAAAATTCAGTTACTTAATGTTTAACTGATGCCTGTTCAACAACTGCTGACACTGCACTGTGCTGGCCCCAGAGGACCTGCGTCACAACTAGGCCCTATGTCGGGTTCACTGCCAAGAGAAACAGGTGCTTCTGAACCTGCTGTGCTTCTCTTACTTCATCATCCCGTCAGGGTGTTCATGGCCATGGTCTCCCTGAGAATGGGAGCTTCTTAAGACACTTCATTTTCTTTTTGCCTCCTCTGGGCCTGGAAGTGTGAACACTTAGCAGGTGCTCAGGAAATGTCTGCTGAACTAAATTGAACAAGGGTAGCATTAAAGTGTTTAGCAATAAGAATTTCTATTCCTGTTCTCTTCGTTGTCCCACATTCTCTTGGTGTAATGTCTCATTATGCTCAAATGTGTGGGTCAAATTGCCAGGGTGTGTATGTCTGAATGGGCTGAATGTTTGTGTTCCCCTCAATTTGTATGTTAAAGCTCTAACCCTCCTTATGATGGTATTTGGAAGCAGGGTCTTTGGGACATGATTAGGGTTAGATGAGGTCATGAGGGTGGGGCCCTTGCAATGGGATTAGTGCCCTCCTAATAAGAGACACCAGAGAGATGCTCTCTCCATCATGTGAGGACAGTGAGGTACCAGCCAGGAAGAGAACCCCGACGGAACCAAATTAGCCAGCACCTTGGTCTAGGACTTCCGGCCTCCAGAACTGAGAGAAATAAACTGTTGTTTCCACCACATGCAGCCTGAGCTAAGATGATGTCCTTCTCAGCTCCTGCCCATGACAGGGCACAAATCGTGGAGCAAAGAGAGAGCTCTCCAGCTATCTGAACGTACTCTGAGGAAACAGGCAGGCTATCTTTTCTAGATGAAGATTTGACATCAGTGGAATCAGAGAGGGAGAGCTGACTCGACATAAAGAGGTTAAACTTCAAATCTATACTGTCCACTGTTGAGTTTAAAAGCATTGTCTACATAATGTGGTCTTCAGTGCCCATGAGCCTTCACACATTACTATTCACTTCTTTTTTCCTACAGTATTTTCCTTCCTTGTTCTTTGATTTCTTTACCCTCTCCTAGGGGGTAGGCAAAGAATTGACTGATGAGAAACAGAGTGAGGGTGACAGATAAACTGGGGGCTGTGGTCAGGGTCTGGGTATTGAGAACGAAGTCCAGGGTGAGGAAGGCCAGGGAAGAGTATGAGAGTTGAGTAGAGAGAGCTGGGAAGAAGGGGGGGTTTCCAGAAGGTAAGATGCCCAGGGGGACAGAAAGGCCTTGCAGGGATGCAGGGACGCTGTGGGCACCTCTTCACACTATTTGTGACTGCGAGGCTGCTCCTGCCCCCTCAGCACCGACTGAGAGGAAAAGGTAAGCTGCCCCTGCCACCCCGACTGTTCCTCCAAGGCAGTCAGGTCTTGGGAAGGAGAGGCTGATGAAGGGGCCTGCCTTCTCCACTATTCAGTTTGCTCTCAGGAGCTCTGAGATGCAGCCTAATATTCATGCATCTAGATGTTCATCACAGCACAGTTACAGAGGTTCAACTAGGAACCCTGACAATGAAGATACCTTTCAAAAAACTTTTAATGCTATCAGGGGAAAGATCCCACTTAGTAATAATAATAGGTAGATAAAAAGCCAGATATAGTTTGGTCCCAATTATATAAATGGATTCTCTCACATACACAGTCTGGAAAGAACCACTCTAAAATAGTACTAGGAATTATTCTGTGCTGTAGAATTATGGGTAATGTTTCTTTTGTCTTTTTTCCCCCTAACATATTTGATACGTTTTCTAAATATCTTCAACTAAAGCCCAGAATTATAGAAAGAGGCAAAAACAATGGCAAGACAAATATAATGAGTCCACTCTGATTTGGGGGGACTTTATTCCCACTCCCCACTCGGGGATGCAGCATGACATTTCCACACACCCAAGAAGCCCACTCCCGCTGCCAGCCCCCACCCCCCACCCCACCACTTGCCTCGCCTCTCTGATATCTGCAGGTAGCCTGTGGAAAGGTACTGCTCCATGTCCTGCTGGAAGGCTTCCTCAAAAAACTTCTGCCGCTCCTTCAGCTTCATTTGCTGGGTGTGCTCCATTTCCAGGACCTTCTGGGTGTGCTCGGCATCCAGTTCAGCTAAGGAACAGAATAATTTGGGTCAGGGTTGAAAAGAAACTGAGAAAGGAAATGGGTATTAAATATCTACTCATAGCTACCCTCTAAGCTGATAGTGTCAAAGTTTAAAGGGTAATCTGACTGCAATACAGCCACCTCCTCTCCCCCAACTGGCTGCACTTGTTCCTGCTACCTTTGCTCATGCTGTTCCCTCTGCCTGGAATGACTTTCCCACCCACATCTCCCACTCTTCCCAGAAGAGATGTCCGTCTTTCAAGACTGACTTCTCAGTTAACCCCTTAACTCAAATAGAATTTGCTGCTCCGCCCTGAGGATTCCATAACACTGTGATCAAACTATGCATTACAGTACAATAGGTAAAGACTTGAACTTCCTGGAGGACTGTGACCATATGTTATTCATTTTAATATCACCCAGCTCAGAGCCCTGCACATAGTAAGGAGTCAATAAATGTTTCTTAACAACAATGTAGCCACTGTGGTCTAGAAGAAAAGTGTCTGGTCTTGGCTTTGCTGTTTATTAACTGTGCAACCTGGCTAAGTCAGTCAACCTTTCTGAGCCTTACATTACTCATCTGAAAATTTGGGACAGAAATATTAACCCAATATTAATGTGAAGCTTAAATGAAATAATGTGAAAGAACTTTATAATTAGAATGAGCAGTGATCCTTCAAGGCAAAGCTGAGGATGTAAGAAAACAGAGACCTCAGCCTGGCTGACACCCTGATCTCAGCCTGGGAGACCAAGCAGAGAACCTCGCTGTTACACCAGGCCGTGACTTCTGACCTACAGACGTAGCTAATTTGTGTTGTTTTAAGCTGTTAAATTTGTAGTGATCTATTATGCAGGAATATGGGATACTCTTAATAAGCTGTGTATATGAATTCCAGTCCCTGCCCAAATATGACTGGCTGAAGAATTTAAAAAAGAACAACTTGAGTTATTTACCTTAAACAAATATTTTGCAACACCTACCCTGTGGCAGACACCATGCTTAGTTGAGTCTGGCAGGAGAACAAAGTTTCAGCTATCTTACTGTCCTGGGATAAACACAGGGCCCAAAGCACTGAAACAATCTCACCAAGGGCACTGTTCCCTAAGGGTCATTTCTGGGGAGTGTCAACAACTTTGGGATATTAGAATTCATTCAATTCCAAACATCAACCCCAAAACAAAATCTGATTAAAAAATGCACAGAGGATCTGAATAGACATTTTTCCAAAGAAGACATAGAAGTGGCCAAGAGGTACATGAAAATGTGCTCACCATCACTAATCAGGGAAATGCAAATCAAAACCATAATAAAGTATCTGCCTTACACCTGTTGGAATGGCTCTTATCAAAAAACACAAGAAATCTGTTGGCAAGGGTGTGGAGAAAAAGGCATCGTACATTCTTGGTGGTACTGTAAACTGGTACAGCCACTATGGAAAACAATATGAAGTGTCCTTAAAAAATTAAAAATACATCTACTGTATGATCCAGCCATCTAACTTCTGGGTGTTTAGCCAAAGGAAATGAAAACAAGATCTCAAAAAGATATCTACACTCTCATGTTTACTGCAGCTATTCACAACAGCCAAGACACAGAAAGAGCCTCAGTGTCTGTCACTGGATGAACGGATAATGAAGGTGTGTATGTAAACAAAGGAGTATCAGTCAGCACGAGATAGAAGGAAATCCAGGTTTGTGCCCTTGACTGGAAATCGAACCCATGCCCCTTTGTTCCACAGGACGACACTCTAACCACTAAGTCACACCGTCCAGGGCTCAAGAGATTTTTTGAACAACAAAAAAACCACCATAGCAGTACATACAATCAACAATGTGACTGATCTGCCTTAGTCATTCCCCTACCCCCACAAACACCCAACACCACATTTCACAACTCCTGAGTTCTATATAATCCTGTAGGTATCACATATCTTAAAAACTCTCTAACGGAGTCTATTTTTATTCCAAACTGGTTATAGTCTCCAATACTTAGAATATTCTGGACATTCTTCTAATCTATATACATGCAAGAAATACAAATTAATATTAACCAAATCAAAGCAACACAAACAGGAAAGTAAATCTTCCTGAGTACATATCATTCTACGTAAATATTGATGATGTGCACTCTGTTCATACTATCACAATTGTTATGTGGATTCTATATTTCCACATCACCCTAACTTACACACCCATCTCACATTTTTGCTTACAGCAAGGGTAGGGAACCTTTTTCTGCCAAGGGCCATTTGGATATTTATAACATCATTCTGGGGCCATACAAAATTATCAGCTTAAAAATTAGCTATGAAAAAAGCTCCTAGATTTATTGAATTTCGAGTCCCTCCTGCAGTTGCCTTAGCAGGGACTGACCAAATGACTCTGAAAGGCAGCTCTTTGGGGTCTCTTTCCTATCTATGCCCACAAGGCCCCACCTCAAGGCTATGCCTGTGCATCCCTATGATTTTCTGGTCAGAGTATTCTGTGAATCCTGGAACCAATAAGCCAGTATAGCCCAGTAGTTCTGGGGTATGAAGGCAGCTTTCACCCAATGGGTGACAGAAGTCAGTGTACCAAAGCCCCCGTCTCCCATCCTTTGGATGGACAATTCTAGGAGGCATTCTGAACACTTCTCAGAGATCCTGGTGGAGCTGCAGACCCTCAGCTATGGCAGCAATGTGAATAATCCATCCCTTAATTGACTTTTCCTCCTTTGCTCACTCTCTCTGCTCTCACTCCTGGCTTCCTGGGATTACCTCCCAAACTTCCTGTAGCAAAATCCTCATCTCAGGCTCTGCTTCCAGGGAAACCCAAGCTAAGCAATCACTAACTTAATCTCTCTGTCTCAACTTCCTCCTCTGTACAAGAAAGGTAAAAAGACCAATTTCATAGGGTTGTTGGCAGGATTACATGGGGTAACGTGCATCTCCAGACACACAGCACTGACCAATAGCTGACAGCTAATATTAATACCAGCATTATTTAAAACATCAGATTCTTGAAAAGGAAATGATGTGACATGTTACCACGAACCAGGAGGGGTACAACACTGAGAGTTGTCCTAACTCAGCCCCACTCAGATATTTCAGAGCTAGTCACTTCTCGGTGACCTTAATAAATCTGCAAGAATTCAGAGTGTGCTCCTGAGAGCAGAAAAAGAGAACTGAAGAAGATGGCTTTTCCTTTGTCTCACTTCAGCCATCAGCCCAACCCACGGCTTCAAGACTGCAGAGTGCACCAGAATGGTCAACCCTAAAGTAGATTAAGTATGCTTCAAACACTCCACACAAAGGTCAATTAACCTTTTAAAAACTAATTCCAGAATAAGTAGCTCCAAAACAAAGAACAATGCAGAAATCATCGAAGGGGTTTTCATGAAAGAACATGTTTGAACTGAATTAAGCTTTTCTATAGACACAGAGATATAGTTATTTAACTTGGAAATGCACTCTTCTCAAGGCTCTGCTTCAGAAGTTCAGTTCTCTCATGTTTCTCAACTGTAAGTCCTACAGTCTTTTATCTTAGGTCTTCTGTATTGGAATGAAATCTAATCATGTCTCACCCCTCACAAAAGGGGAAGTTTGGATTAGGAAACTTAAAATGAGTTTAAAAAGAAATAATTGTTTTAAGTTTTAAAACATGTTACACACTTGTTTGAAATTTTTCCAACTGCCCTATACTGGCTCACACTGTTTCAGAGCCCCTTTTACATCTCAGCTACTACCAAGATAGACTCTGAAAAGTGAGTACAGTTACACTATACCAGCTCTGCACTCAGGCCACTGATGAAAAACCACACGGCACATACTGATTAACTGTCCTGCTCAGCCCCTGAGAAGATTTGCCCTCAACTACATGCCTGTGTGAGGACGTTCTATTTCTGCTGTTTGTCCTGGAGTCACCAGCCCAGTTTTCACCGAGAAACAACCACATTTGGGAATAGTGAAATGACAGAAGGACATCTGAGGAAATATTTCAAATCTAGAGGTTTAGTAGCATGTGAATTTAGAATGAGTATGGGAAATATAAAGTCTGGAGCATTTTCTACATGGAAAAATGATCCCTTGTTTGTATTTAAGATGTCATTTATTATATTAGTCAAAGCAAGACAAATATGATGATTTATAAAACTTCAAAACATAGCCTTCAAATGAAAAAGAAAAAGCCACAAAAGAACTGTAGTTTTTCTACCAGGAATCAGGAGTAATCATTTAACTCTATTATCAGCCCAGGTCTGTTTCTCTTTTATTTCAATTCCAGATCATTGCTCAAGTTTTATCTGACTGCAACTTCCACTTTAGCCACCACTACCAATTTCAAATGGATAAATTACTCAAAACAACAAAAAAATCCCATTACCAATGAAGATGGTATAATCAATTTTCAATTATATGTTTTAATGGAGCATAAGGGTTCCACAAGATATATGAAATATTTTTTAAAACCCATCAAGCTCATTTTAGGAACCATTTCAACCTATTCCACAACTAAGCCTTTAACACCGCTTCTAAGTATTAAAAGACAGTGAGGTGTTAGGACTGAAAATAGCACCCCCTCCCCCCCCAGCTGCTGGGAGGAAGGAAATGGGTGATGTGAGGAAAACCAGGGAAACTCTCTGGTAAAAGAGAGAATCTCTTCAATTGTTAAAAGAGAAACAATAAAATTTAAATATGAGTTTAGAAAAATTCTGGTAATCTTTACATAACATTAAAGATTAAGAGAATTTTTTATTCAAGATAAATAACAGACTAAGAATAAATTTAAAAACTGATTTAAATATTTACAGTTCAGATGTTTTAATATTGTTGGAGAGTATGAATTTTGTGATACTAAAATACATATGACATGATCAAGGCAGAAATGTGAAATCTTTATAAATTTCTAAATACAAATAGTAAAAAAATACTTTCCAAACTGTTTTTGATAAAAATTTAACTGCCAACAGGCTGTCAAACTACAGGACCTCTAAAAGACAATACTAAAATCTGTCAGAGTGACAGAATTTT